GATGAGGCGCTGTCCTCCCACTCGCCGCGGCCTAGAAGGGAACCCGGAACTGTGTATCCTTCCCCGAGACAGAAGAGGGCCTTGACCTGGGCCCCTCACTCATCCCACCCGAATCCCCTCGTAGGGGCGGAGCGGGGTGGCCTTTGGTCCTGTCTGCCACCCGCACCTTCTAAACCAGGGGTTCTCAATTGCACTTCTACCGAGGAACTTCAAAAAATACCAGTGCTGCACACTGACTGCCCTTCCCCACCCGGATTAGATTTTAATGAGTTTTGGGTGGGGCCCAAACTCCCCAAGTTAAACACTGTGCAGCATAAATAATCACATTCTTCCTAATTCTGGTCCTCTTACCGTCGCTATCATGAAAGTACAGAGTAGCAGGGCCTTAGGGATAGAACCTTCCAAACAGCACACACACACACACACACACACACACACGCACACGCACACGGACACACACCTAGAAGTAATAGATTAAACAAGGTTGCAGGATACAACATCAATACACAAAAACTGGTCATATTTCTACATACTAGCAACAAAAAATTGGGAAATTAAATCATAAAAACACCATATTAAATAGCATAAACAACATCAAATACTAGAAATAAATTTAATGAAAGATGTGCAAGACCAACCTCTATACTAGAAATCCTGCTGAGTGCAAAGACCAAAAAAATGGAGAGTTATATATGTTTATGGATCAGAAACTGAATGGAGGTAAGATGTCTCCCAAATAGATCTTTAGATTCAACACAATCCCTATAAAAACTTCAGCAAACATTTTTTTTAAAGAAATTGACAGGCTGGTCCTAAGACTTATATGAAAATGGAAAGAATTCAGAAAGGCCAAAACAATTTTAGAAAAGAAGAGCAGAGTTGAAGTACTTACTCTTCCTGACTTTAAGACTTGCTGTAAAACCACAATAATCAAAATAGGGTAGTACTTATGTAAGGACAGACAGTAGATCAATGGAACAGAATAGAGTCCAGAAATTAATTCACACATATATGGTCAACTGATTTTTTCCTAAAGCACCAGTCCAATTCAATGGGGAAAATGTGTGTGTGTGTGTGTGTGTGTGTGTGTGTGTGTGTGTGTGTTTATTGATTTTAGAGAGAGAGGCGGGGAGAGGAAGAGGGAGAGGGAGAAACAGCAATGCAATAGATGAGTTGCCTCCTGCACACAAACCGACCTGGGGAATCCAAAACCTAGGTATGTGCCCTGCCCAGAAATTGAACCAGTGACCTCTTGGTGAATGGGATGACTCTCAACCAACTGAGCCACACCAGATGAGGCAGTAAAATAACTTTTTTTAAACATTTGGTGCTGGAATAAATTGTATACTGTACTGGAGGAAAAAAAATGATCTTCAACCTCTACCTCAGTCCATACACAAAAATTAAGGCATAGACCCAAGCATAAAATTCAGAACCATAAAGACTCTCAAAGATAATACACTGAGTGGCCAGATTATTATGACCACCTGACGTTTGTAGGCAAATTAGCTATAATTTCGCGCTGAAGTTGCTAGAGGGCCAGACCATTATACATAGGGAAGCAGGTTGTTTTCCACGAGAGTAGAAGTGATTTTTTTCTGAAGATATGGGTAAACAACATGATTTAACAGCCTTTGAATGTGGGATATAGTATACATACTGTATATCTTCATGACCTTGGGATAGGCAGACATTTGGAGGATAAATATCTATGGAAGAACTCCTCCTGAAATATAAAGACCTCTGGCAGCTCCAGCTGCAGCCTCATCCCCTAATAGGAGAAAATGTAGCTCAGGTTGAAAGTATGTGTGTGATATTCTGAGAGATTTGTTTGTTACTGGCAATTAAAAGAATAGCTGTAATAGCTAGTACTTACTGAGCCAGGCACTGTGGTATTAGAATGTACATTATTTAATGTAATCTTCAGAGTATTCAGCATACTATTAGCCACTGTTAGCTAATACTATTGCCATTCCCTTTTATAGATGAAAAACCTGAGGCAGGTGACTTGTTCAAGGTCATACAATGCGGAAGTAGGTCAGAAAGCTCTCTAACCATCACACTGCCCTTCGATATGTCCCTACCAGCTCTGGCTATTTCAGGAAGTTGCAAAGGTGCCCCAGAAAGAACACCAGAGTTAGTGGCTGGATGTGGGTCCTGGTGTCCCAGTCGCACTTTCTAGCTGTGTGATGTTGTAAGGACACGTTCTGAATCCAACCTAATTCCTCATCTTTAAAATGGGCCTAACACTAAATCTGCCTACATATGAAGCTTTCAGAGGTTAAATGAGAAAATAGTCAGTGACACAAAGCGAAGAGGCCATCAAATATCACCAAGACACAGATCGGACCCAGAAGCCCAAATGTCTTCCTCGTAGTCACATTGCAAGGATCCAGGTGCCCCAACTTAGCTGGAGTTATTTCCACAACATGAGCCATCACATCCCTGCCTGGGCCGCCATCCCAACCTGTCTCAAGTCCCTCTGTGCCCCTCTTCTGCCTCCTGCACCTCCCTCATTCTCATCACCAACTCCAAGCTGTCTGTCACTTCTCAAGCCACATCTCTCTTCTCCACTGAGCCCATGCTGTGCCTATGCCAGGCTCACCCTTCAGTGGCCCTCCTCATATTCACCTCCCTCCTGCCTCTTCCAAAGAAGCCTTTGTTGACCAGCTCCTCGACTCCCACCTGTGACAAGGCCCCCAGGCTCATACAAAATGCCATCACTCCCCAACGTCTACTTCTCTCCCCTTACAGTATTTAGCTTGAGGCAGCAAGAAGTATTTCCATATCGCCCCTTCAATAAAGAAACTCTCCTTCCCTTTCAGTTAACACCTAGCACTAAAAAACTGCCCACTGAGCAAAACCACTGATTACATCAGGTCATGTCCTGCAAGAAGAAGGACCCAGGTGAGAAGTAACCAGGGCTGAGGGGGTGTAGAATGCAGACAAGAGGGCTTCAGCAAGACAGTCCAGCCCTTCTAACCTTGACCTCCTACCCAGGTCATGATCACCACCCTCATCTTCATCTGCTCTGGCAGCCTT